CCTTCATCTCACCGAGAGCCCAAGGGCACATTTTACAAGATAGCAATTCAAAGTCCCCTAGTTCTCTGTCTTTTCCTCTATACCCATCCCAAGTCATAGGTTGTTCTGGGCCCTTCCTACCCACTCAACCCACAGGAACATTGAACTCCTAGTTCACATCTGGGTCCAACAGTTCTCAAGCCCTCTCCATTTTCTCATTTCTCTACATTCCTATCATCATGATGCCCAAGCTACTCCTGTAGGAGCTCAAAAGGCATAAAGCAAAGAGGTATTTTAATATGAGATTGCCGGAGTCCATTCATTGTCTTCACTAGCTGAGTTTAGACAGAGACCCCCAAAAGCTAGTAACCTTTGAAGTCCTAGCAAAGGTCAGAACTGTGCACCACCCAGTTAATCTAGGAACCACCCAGTTAATTTAGGTAATAATAGTTGAAGCATCATCCCCACCTTAGTTCCCTTAATTCCTTAGATACTTATGTAGATCCTTGTTGATTATTGTTGATCAGATACTCTGCCTATTCCTGGAAATCATCTACTGATGAGCTAATCAGATACTTTGTCTATTCCTGGAAATTGTCTGCTGATCTGTGTGTCATTGAAATCTCCTTACCTAAGGCTACTCCAAGCTCAATAAAAGATTGGAGCAGCCTGAGCATGGGTGGAAGTCCCTCTCCTTGAGTTGGACTTGCCCGCCTGGTCCTCCAATATTTCAAAATTATCTCGTGTCATTTTTCTCTCATTTGCTGTGCGGCTCCTCTTTCAGATACCGAACCCTACTCCACGCGGGACGTGGAAGGAAACACACTTGACATGAGATGATTTTGCCGCTTGGGCAGGGCAGACTGGTTGCAGTCCCTCCCAACCACACTCACATTCCATAGGTGCTGCGTTTCCTGTCTCGGGGAGCACGTGCTCAGATCACAAGAAGGAATAAAGCCTTTCAAAGCATGTTCACAGACCTGGTCCAACAGGACTATGACCTTTAGCACAGGTAGGTCAGTGTTTCTCCACCTGCTTTTTATTTTTTTGCCCTCCCCACCCCCACCCCAGGAGTCCTTTAAAACATCCCCCCCCCAACCAGTACTTCTCCCCATGAAATTTTAATACTATAGATAATCGGCTTATATACTATGGCCCCATTGTAATATCTAAGATGTTTTTACCCCCCAGCCACCCATTTGAGTAAAAAGCAATTTCAAAAAGTAGCATGTAGAGCACAAGGTATTTATGCCCACAAATTATTTATGCCTACTCAGAAGTGACACACTTACGATCAATGTTCTCAACCTCAAAGTTGAGTGTGTTGAGAAAAAATTAGGTAGAACCACCAGTGCCCCTATTAATGCTGACTTTAGGACAATGCAATCGTGCCCGATACTATATTTTACCCCCCATATTCCATAATAAGCACCGAGGAAACCCCATGCTTTGCAACCAACCACTGTGCAAGGCTTGCCACAACCACCTGCTGACAAAACCAAGTTTAAAACAAAAGAAAAGATGAATCAGTTACTCACCAAAGATCCACCCACAGAGATTCTAAAATAAAAATTTAGCACGCACAATGGGAGGGGGGAGAGGACATATGTAATACTTTCAACAATGAAGATTTTAAAAAAATTAACACACACAAACTCCTCCTTCAAAAGGAACCTGCAAAACAGCTACGTTATTTTCCATTGTCTACTCCACAATTCCAACCGTTAAGTTCTCTTTTTCCTTTGGGCATAAAAAGAAGGTACTTAGTCTACCAAGCTTTGTAGCCCTACTATTTTTTTAGTTTTGTCTATGACCTCTGTTTCTCCAGTTTGCCTACAGCCACCATGAGGGGTTCAAAGGCCACAGAAAGGCAGGAAGAGGGTGTCGAAGGGACTGGGTCGGCACTCCTTCCCACCTGTCCTACCTTAGAGCCACAAGGCCTTTGGTCTTTGTCCCTCCTGTGCTGAACTGGAGCCATGACAGCGATTTCGGATGTTCTCCACTTCTCCTCCCGAGGTCCAGACTTGCCCACTAGAGATTCAGAGCTGTACTACTCGTCTTTCTTTCCGCCTAGCCTGTCCGGAACAAAAACTCCACCCTCATTTGGCCACAGGGTCTTATCCCCCAAAGTAAATCTTTTATCTTGGGGGTGGGGCAAAAAGGCGGGGACACAAGTTACTAAAGGGAGTAGCCACTTCTCATTAATCAAAAATTCCATCAACTGAAGATTGGTTCCAATTGTATGGAAAACATGGCTGACCGAAGAGGAAGACCTCTCTACAACAGGGCTCCTTGTCTCTGGACGTCTTCCCCTGGAATTATGAAACAGTACATAGTATGCCCAGTCAAAAATCCTTCAGACCACAAATCTGCCTCAAGCTATCGCTCTATCAAATTGCCTCCTTATTCAGGTATCTTAAGTGGCTACTCCCAAGGGTGTGAGTTATTGGTTACCAAAGTCAATCATTCCTTGAATACCACCGATTTAACCTGCTCTGGTGGAGACCCTCCAGATTTTCAGCTGAATCTCTATGCCCTTCACAGGCCCTAGAACTTCATGATCACAGGACATCATCCCTCACCCTGACTGCAGGTGTGTTCCTGAGCCTATTCCTTCAAGGAGTCTAAAAGGAAAGCCACTGCCTTTTCATGAACTATCCTACCCATGCTTGAACTTAATAACCCGACTCAGGTGTTCAGTATATCATTGTATACCGTAATTGTTTCATAATATTTTTAAGAACGTGGGCTTTACTGGAATCAGACAAATTTGGCTACTTGCCCAGATCCATATTTTACCAACCATGTGGCCTACAGCAAGTCCTTGCTCTATGAAATCTCTTTGAGTCGGTTTCCTTAAGATAAATCAGAATTGGTAATAGCACTTACTGATCAGGTTTTACTGCGAGGCTTATATGAAATCATGTATTTGCATATACTGCTGGATCTTAATGTTTACAAAAGAACTGTAAGGTAAAAATAAATGTTAGGTAGATCTTTTCAACCTGTCCTTCAACATATAACAAAATCCTAGTAATTCCAGGCTCAAATCCACAATTAAGAATATTATTAGTTATTGTTTATGTATTGAGCATTAACTACCTGCCACACATCATTATGACCACTTTATATGAATTATCTCTTTTGCTTTCCCTCCTGAGATTAGTAGCATTAATATCTCCATTTTTTTTATAAGAAAGTTTCTGATAAGGTTTTAGAAAGGTTAATCCATGTCAAATCAATACTTTCCGAGCCAGGATTCAAACCAGAGGTCTAACAATACCATAATGCTTAACTCTAATTTCAGCAACAAATAAGTATTAACATTGTAAGTCAATTAGTTATTAATACTTAATAATGTTTACTGAACAACGATTACCATAGATGCTTAGAACTTAAAAGAACAACAACCCCTCCCCCCCCCAAAAAAAAGAAAGAACAACTTCCCATGGTAGTTTATTTTCTCAGATTGTCAGAATTATTGTCTTTGTGAACCCAATGGCCTACTTTTATTCATCTGCTTGTGATTTGTAGCAGCATAGTATGGATATTCAAAAAATCTTCACCTCATTCCAAATTCAATATATGCGCACTGAGTTCACACAAAGTTATTAAGAAAAGTAGGGAAAATGTGGACATACGTCCCTGTCCATTTTCTCTCCAAATGTTCCTTGGACAATAACATTATTTCTGGATATCCCTGATATGTTTTACCTTTTTCCTAACCCTTTTCCTAAAAAATTTCAGTTTCATATAATTAGGAGACTAAGATTCAATGAAAATGTATTGGTATTAAATAATACCCCAATATGAATTGCCACATTTTAATAAAAGAAAAAACCTAGAAAAACAAATTGAAGATGGTCCTATTCAATCAGAAAGAGTCAGGAACCAAATATATTAGTTTTGTGGGGGTTTTTTTAATGACACTTATAAATACTAAAGCTTTCAGATTTGTCCTATGACTAATTCTATTATCAACTCTTCTTGCCTAGAATGCTCTGTCATCATGATCAAAGATAATATTCAAGGAATTTGCCTCATCTAACTCCATCCAGAGGTCACAGATAATTAGTTCATTCATGATCCTACATGATACCACTAAAAATTGCGAGTTCCAGTTCCTTCCATATTGTCCATGTGGCCTTGGGTCTCCAATTTTTCCCCTTGAAGAAAAAAAATAACGACTCTTTTTGTCTAGGCTGTCTAAACACATAAGCTCTGAGAATACTGAGTATTTCTTCAGCGCTTAGCTGGTGATATGCACAGAAGTATTTACATATTCCTAACTAAAACAGAGCATTCTAGAGATACAAAACCCGTAAATCTTTCCCTGGTAGCTCCTTCCCCAAAGGCTAAATACTTGCCTTCAACGGACACCTATCTGCTGATGACGCCCACAGTAAGACAAGATCTGTCTCCTACACTTCAAACTCTGTCATCCACCAACTGGACATCTTCACTAGGCAATTACAACTCAGCCACGTCTAAAAATTAACTAGTTACTACTTCCCCAAATCTGCTTTAACCTCAAAACCTAATAACTCATAAATCTTCTGAGGAGCCTTGTGCATTCAAGAACCAAATTCAACCTCCAACTGTTACAGAATAGTAAGAAGCTAAGAAAATTCCAGGACTAGCAGAATAGGGAAACTCAAAATAAGGCCATTTGCAGCCACTTAGTAAATCCTATCTTCCCTAAACCAAGAGCACTTAAGAATAAATGGTTTGCAGTGCTCCCCAAACAGAGTTAAATAGCTTAAATCACCCTTCTCAGGGAGACTGATAACAGAAATCCAGCTACTGTCCACACCCAAGGACAGACAAATTCAGAGAATAATCTCTTTTTGGTACAACAGCATAAAGCAGATGAATATTCTATTGATTCCCCCTCCAACAAGACCTTCCCTAAGTACCAAGACTTAAATAAAAAATCTTTGTTGAAATATGCTATTGAGTAATGTTTTGACTCTTAAAATTCTAGTGATGTGAACACATTGTAAGGTATAAAAATGTCCAGAGTGCTTGCTTAGGCAGCATGTATACTAAAATTGGAATGATACAGATAAGATTAGCATGGTCCCTGCGCAAGGATGACATGCAAATTCATGAAGCGTTCCATTTAAAAATGTCCAGAAGTGCAGAAAAACAGATATGGAACTCTGATAACCTCGAATTGCTGAATTTATTAACCTGAAATCACTTGTCTCTCAATTTCTTATGTCAGAAAATGCATTGTTTATTGTTTAAGCAAGTTTTAGTTGTAGTCAGGAGCATCCTGAGTATAAACACAGAGCAAAAGGGGTAGAAACTAATAATTTTATTCCCCCTGTAATGTCTTTGTCCTTTTTTGAACAAAAGTTTATTTATTTCAGAAAGAGGAAGAGAGAGAGAAAGAGACAGAAACATTGATGATGAGAGACACAACAAAATGAAAAGGAAGCCCAATGAATGGAAGGACATATTTGGCAATGATATATCTGACAAAGGGTTAATATCCAAAATATGTAAGGAACTCATACAACTTAACAAATGGAAGACAAACAATCCAATTAAAAAATGGGCAAAGGACTTGAATAGACACTTCTCCAAAGCAGAAATACAGATGGCCAAGAGACATATGAAAAAAATGCTCTAAGTCACTAACCATCAGAGAGATGCAAATTAAAACAACGAGGTATCGCCTCACACCTGTCAGAATGGCTACCATCAACAAATCAACAAATGTCAAGTGCTGGCGAGGATGTGGAGAAAAGGGAACCCTAGTTCACTGCTGGTGGGAATGCAGACTGGTGCAGCCATTATGTAAAACAGTATGGAGTTTCCTCAAAAAATTAAATATGGAACTGCCATTTGACCCCGTGATCCCACTTCTAAGAAACCCAAAGCACCAATCAGAAAGAATGTATGCACCCCTATGTTCACCCCTATGTTCAATGCAGCACAATTTACAATAGCTAAGATCTGGAGACAGCCCAAATTCCTATCAGCAGATGAGTGAATAAAAAAGCCATGGTGCATTATACC